CAGGCCTGTCTGACACCGGAGTTCACTGGAGCCTTTTCAGAAAGGCGGGTGCCTGTGCCTGACCCTGAGCCCATTAAACTGGAACAGGAACCAGATGCTGATCCACTCTAAAAGCTTCGCAGGTGGCGCTGACATGTAAACATGACTGAACACACGCAGCCCAGAGACGGAACGGGGAGTGCACAGCCCATGAACCCACTCACCCGTTAAGCTCCATACAGGCATGAAATATGCATGTACTCACGTATGCGCATGCGTGCCCGTGTGTGTGTCTGTGTGTGAGAGGCTAGGTGAAAGATAAACAGTTCTCACATATGTTCAGCATAGCTCCGGGCCTATGAGACATCGATAGGAACTGTCTAAGAAACAATAAATAGGTGGAAGCTTGTGGGAGAGACGCGGTTATGAGCGCTTGGTGGTGAGTATGCAGGACTTCTCAGAGGCCTTAACATGGCAGCTGCACTGTGAAGCTGTAACTGAACTTGATTTTTGGTAAACAGGGATAGCTTTATTTTTTCCTGGTAAGCCTTTTAAAGTATTAACTCATATTAATTGTACAAATTAGTGGATCTTGCCATGACATTTCCACACACACACACACACACACATTATATACACACACACACACAATAGGAAAAGAGAAAGAAGGAATAAAAGTACGGTAAGACAATGGGGACAATGTATCTGAAGGTGTACCTTGATGTGGTACAACTGTCTTACGGGTTTCATGTGTTCTTCTTTGGCCCATTAATCTTGTGTTCAGTACGCATGTATGATAATTAATTTTATAAAGTCTTACAAAGTAAATAAATGAATTTGATGCTGGAAAAATAAAAGGAAGGTGGAGGAAGAGGGAAAAAAGACAACTGAAACGTGCTATATACGTGTCCCACCTGCTACGGTGAATGTAATCATTATGTACTGCAAAACTGGATCACTAACAATTAAAAAAAAATCTATGAATTTTTTTTTTGTTTTGTTTTGGTACCGGGGATTGAACTTGGGACCTTGCACTTGCAAAGCAGGCGGTGGAACTACTGAGCTAAATCCCCAGTCCCCCCAAAATCTATGAATTTGAAATCTATGTGCAAAACAACTTTAAAGGGCAATACTTTATGTACACATCAGCAGATGGGCAGATACATCAATGTCGATACCTAATATGCACTGCACAAGAGACACTCTGAGTAGAATTACACAGAGCTAACGGTCCATCCTAAATGTACCAATAAACTCAATTAAAACAATGGCAAGAATGATGGGAGGTGTGTGTGACGTTAAGGGGCGGACTGTGAGAGGGACTCATGGCAATGTGTCCTTACCGTAACACATCTTAAATTTAACTTTCTCTGCATTGCTGACAACGTCCTGTATCTTGTATGTTATCTTTCTTTTTATAGTGTCAGCAATCATGGGTACTCATTGCCTAGGTTCATTACTCACTAGCAGCTATAAAATTGACTTGTTCTGGCTGCAAATTCATTCTTTATTTGTGGTGGTATTATGTTCACAATAATACATATATTCATATTATGAACATAATACATATATTATACAATGGTACATATATTATTCTTTTATGTGGTGGTATTGTGTTCATATTATGCGGTGGATTATGTTCGTAAGTTCACCTTGGAAGGAACAGCATGGTTATTAGTTGAGCCGTCCTGTCTGGTCATGCAGCACAGCTTTCCATGGCGAGGTCTATTTTGGCTTCTGCTCGTGTATTTTAACGATTATAAATATTGTCTTCTTTCCTTCACATCTTCTAACTGGTGATTTTTAAATTGTGTGCTCTTGATTTCACAACACACTACTTTGACAAGTTCTCTTGCTGTCTGCAGCAGTGGTCTCATTTGCTCTTCTGGGTGTTCTGGACACGCAGGCCTGTCACCTCCCTGCTGTGGCTCACAATGTCCTCTGCCTGTGCTGCTGCCTGTGACCAGCTACGTCTGGGGCACCACTGTCCAGCACTGCTGACACTGGGAATTTACCTCCATTCCACACTGGAGCACAGATTGTGAAAGAGCCCTCTTTAAGCCTGCAGGATATATCGCTACAGTGCTAGAGATAAACTCTGATGAGAAAGGAAATGAGGGCGGGAGAGTGCGTGAACCCTTACTATTTAACAGGGTGAAACAACAAGGACGCCATTATTGGATTAATTGGTGCAAGAGATTATACTGCAGGACTAGTAGGCTTCTCTGCACTGAAGTATCAAACTATTACTGAGTTACATAAATTATAAAATTATTTTCATTACACTGAAGAGCTTGAATAGAAACAGTTCATTAAATTCCACTATGGTTGAGATGCTGTGTCACTCAGAAAGGCCTGTGCTGAAAGCCTAACCCTGGTGTGGTGTGTTACAGAGTGGGGCCTTACAGAGGTGACTCCTGCAGCCAGGGCAGCTCTGCCCTTGCCAATGGACCTGTGTTGTTAAAAAAGACCCAGAGAGCAGCCTTGCTTTTCCCCGAGGTGAGGGCCCACAGAGCAGTCTCCTTCCAAAGAGTCAAGGCTCTGTTACACACTGGGCCTGCCACCACTCTGAATCTAGGACTTGTCAGCATCTAGAATTGTGATCAACTGATTTCTGGTCTCTTTAAGGTATTGGTCTAAGGTGCTTTGTTGTAACAGCACAAACCATCCAAGGTGAGGTCAGAGAAGCTGGAAACAGGATTTCCTATGAGGTGAAACGAATTCTCCTTTACCCGTAAGTCTTGGAGAACCCTGGAAGATCCCAAGGTGAGGAGGCTAAGGTTTGGGAGAGGTCCCCCATGGATGTCCTCAAGGTGTCCTCTTCTTACCCTCTGTCAAACTTGAAGGAACACTTGTCAGGCACACGTACAGTTAGTTATTTCCACTGTGAAGATTCCTTTCTTATGAGGTTATTTTTCCTCCAATTTTTATTGGGAATATATTTGCTCAACTTCAGTTATGTACAAAATGCTGTGTCACACACAACTTCAGGCCTGCAGAAGTGGACAGTGTCACAAATAGCTGATACGCCAGTCAATAAATCCAAAGCCAGATAAAATAAATACTTACAGAAACACTGGTGCCTCTCTAGGTCTGAACTGTTGAGCATTTTGTTGAAAGCTTTCAATGGAAGGAAACAAGAAGATGGCCCAGAGTTCATCACCCAAACCAAAGGCCTTCATTATTAAATCTACTTCGAGGCAAGATCTGCACTCATCCCTAAGAAAAGAGTCTTCTCCTTCTAAATCTCTCCTAGGTATTACTGTGTATAGCAGCGAGGAAAAAAATGGTAATTAAGAAAAATCTTTTCCACAACGGAAGTCTAACAATTGGTATTGATGTTTTATTCATACATATTAAAAAATGGCATTTAATGGGGATTCATTTTTAGATTTTAAAAACTGTCATTCCTCCTCACACAGAAATCTCAGGATGTGAAATACAAAATCTCAGGGATTGAACTCAGGTCCTTGTGCTTGTGAGGCAGGCGGCGGAACCACTGAGCTAATCCCTGGCCCAGGGTTTTGAAATACATTCTTAAAATATTTAGCAGAAAGAGAGAATACTGGCTTTGTATATTTACAGTAAGGCAAATATGCTTTAGCGATAAGGGAAGGACATGAAGGCCTGCATGCATCTGTTGTCAGCCTGCCCTCCACGGACAGGTGGACGAGTCTGGGTGAAGCTGCAGCCTGGGGAGCCGGGCTCCAGCAAGGACTCCACAGGCATCATCCCATCTGTGACTTCCACGTGTCACTAGCCAGGCCACAGATACCCAGTGATTCACCCCAGATATGAAAACTTGGCTTCTCCAAGGGGAAAATGTGAGGCCTCCACTCTGAGGTGGGGCAGTATCTGAATTCCAGCTGGGAAAAGGCTCCTGGGGGTCTGTGGAATGCGCATCACAGTTAGGAGTCTTCCCTTTCCTAATCAGGCATAAAAACACGTGGAGGGAAGAGAAACCTCCCTGGTCTCTCTCCAAGCCAGACTTCTGAGAAGAGCCGGCCCTGCTTGTCATCGTGGGTCAGGGGAAGCAGCAGCAGTGGGGTCTGCACCAAGGACGAGGCCGGCTACCAAGCATCCACATTTTAACCGCTTTGAAGTGTCCCCAGTAGCATTGGGAGCTCCAACATTTCTCGATGTGTACGGGGATGGCAGATGACCTCGAAACCTGTTTCATAATTGTGTTTAACCTCACAGATCTGCAAATGTTTTACTATCCTGATGCGACAAATAAGAGACACGTCTGCTTTCTATCTGAGTCCTTGTCCTGTGTCACTAAGCACTGCATTATGGACTTGAAGAAAATGGAGCTAAAAAAAGTTGTAAGTGAACAAACTAGGAATCACAAATTCCTAGGCTAGATGGATGCTACTTGCAGGTTTTTCTTTCAATGTGTGCCTTTTCATGGATCTATTTTCCTTCTCTGCTAAGGTGAGTATTTTTACTCTCTTTAACATTTCATTTTATATATGCTTAATTAAATAAAACCACTTGCTCCTAAATACTGCAGTATGTTGTGAAATGCTCTTCTGAGAGGGTGAACTAACACTAGCCAATGTCTCTCAGGATATCTTTTGTGAGTTTCCAATAGTCCCGTGTACGGACATCACTTGGAGAAGAATCCACAGACATCAGCCAATAAAATACAACAGCATTTCCATCCCGATGTTTGGCTAATGATTCTGGAGACTTCACCCTGACTTTAAACACATTCTCTGCCTCCCCGACCTAGCTAAAACTGCATTTCCATGAACACAGCTCAGCTCTCCGTCATACAGTACCTTCTGCAACAAGTACCTTCTGTTTCAAGGTGAGAGTGCACCAGTTGTTCAGAGGGAGGACAACACAAAAATGATGCACGATTAACAAACCGGGTATAATAATTACAAAACACGAGAGTAAAATACTTGTTTAAATCCATATCTGAATATAATTACATAATCATCTCAACTGAATTAAGAACTAAGTTAGTTGAAAAGCAATGCAAGTTCACAGATTTTAAAAGAAAGCCGACTTACTTGTTCAAATTCATTCTTCTGAAATTCTTCAAAACCAAAGATGTCCAGTATTCCAATGTCCAATGTGTGGGCACTGCAAGGAAACAAAGCACCAGAATAAACGGGGGTCCCGGGAGCACCCCGCGGCCCTCTGCTCCCGAGCCCATAGCAGGTCCCACCGATTCGGACTAAGAAAGTACCATAGTTCTCTTAGAGTCTGACGGGAGGCTCTGAGAGCAGCCAAGAAGAAGTGCAATCTCTTAAGGCTTTCGTCATGGCTGCGGTAAGTGTAAGCATAGGGCAGTGTGTAGGCGGGCTACTATTTGCTTCTCTAGACCCGCTCTGGGTCTGTCCTTTGGACTGGATCCCCTTTCCCCAGGATGTCGAGTCCATGTGGCAAGAGCCTGTGTCCAGCGCCTCTTGCCAGCTGTCCTGGCAAGAGCAGGTAAATCACAGCTGGCCATGTGCATCTCTTTCCACAGATCAGAGTTCACCACTTCCAAAATGATGTTGTGATCTTCAGGACAGGATTCTCATAAGTGAAGAATAAAGAACATGAAACTGAAATGTAATTGACCCAATCTGCATATGTAGCTCACATCTTACTGCTAAACTCACACAGTGACAGAGGACAGAAGACACACTCACCTCCATGGCAGTGGCCCTGAGTCCCAGACCCCTGGACCTGAGGCTGCTCCTTGCAAAGGGAGCTCAGACTGTGTGGAATTGGGGCTCCCATGGGGATGCACCCCCAAGCATGAACCTCAGGGTTCAGGGCTTGCTGCATCCTGCCTTCTGCTGTGGGTGTGGGTTCTCCCAGAAGCTGTGCCCACTGGTTTTTTTCTTTCCCCTCCATTTGCTTTGAACCTAATTGGCAGCCAGGTCTGGGCTTGCACCTGCATTTTGATTTTCACACCTGGCGCATAATCATGATACTTTGGGTTGCAATATGTCACTTAAGTGAGCAGTTTTTCCTTTAAAAATGTAGAATGATGATCCTGTGGTACAGTATTCTGTCGGGTTATTTTTTCATAGAGTGTAGAAATATGAGCTTAAAAACGGGAAGGAGAGGCCCGGGAATTTGGCTCAGTGGCACCACACCTGCCTCACAAGCGCAAGGTCATGAGTTCGATCCCTGGTACCAAAATAAATAATAAATATATGGGGAGGAGAGCATGTAAAACACCCTTATCTAAACGTCCCAAGACAATAGAGAAGGTAGGGATGGCAGAATTCTGTGGGTTCGCTGGCTGGCAGCAGGGCTCCACAACTCCCACTCAGGGCTTTGGTGGAACTTAAGGAAGGCAACAGAGACCCAGGCCCACACACCACCTCCTTGCCTCCCCTGCCCATGCGCGGGCTCAGGAGCATCTGACCTGCAGGAGACAGAGGACCAGCTGGGCCGGCACGGGTGGGTGAGGAAACCCACTGAGGGTCCCGACCCAGAGTGGGAGCATCGACCGTTACCAGCAACTCCGAGTTAGTGCCTTTGGTTGAAAGAGCGCTCCTCTTAAATGACTTCCACATTTTCTCAGACTCCAAATATATTTGCTTACAAAATTAAAATGTTAAAAAGAAGGTGATAAAGAAGGAAAATCTGCTGTCCGAAGGAAAATTACATGCAAATGTGATCGCGTTGAGGCGTACCTCTGCAGTTCCCGCAGACAGAACGCGCTCTCTTGAGCCTGCTGCATCACTGACTGAGTGGAGAGTGGGCCTGCAGCCTCAGCAGCAGCCAGTCCCAAAGCTTCCCACCGGCTCCTCAGTCAGGCCTTCCGGATGCCCTGACCCTGTGACTCAGACTCAGCCCCACATCCAGGTTCCCTCCTGAAGGAGGAGCAGAGAAGACCCCTGCCACCCCGCTGACCCCACTCTCCAGGCAAAGTCAGCACATCGTAAGGCGGCCCTTTCAGTTCAGCTCGCCTCAGAATGCTCCGGATTTTCCTGAGGGACGGGGAAGCTGTTTAACTTGCATTAGCTATTGTGGGTGAAGCGGGACCTTCGGAGCAGACAAAACACTAACTGACGGGCCACTGGTTTGGATTTCACCTTGCGTATCTGCTGAGATGGGAGGAAAAGGTTGAACTGAAGACAGTGCTCCCGAGAGCCTGTCCCGCCGTCCTGATGCGGCACGTGGGTGGCATGCAGGTGCTCGGGCCCCAGAGTAATCTGAGCACTGCGTCGGTCAGGAGACAGCTCCATGCTGCTTGGCATAATACCTGCAGTCTGAGTTAGAGGTGAATCTGCCTCTTAGGCTGATCACAGAATCGCGTGGGAATGCACTCCAGGCACGGGCAAGCTTGCTGTCCTCACTCTGGGGCCGCAGAGCAGCTGGTGGGAAGTCTTGGGGCCACAGGCGAGGCCCAGGCGCGTGCTGATTGCTTTACTTCACGGGAGCTCATTCTTTCATTCGTTTGGGTTCTTAACCGGCGAGGTGCACGGGTGAGCTCTCTGCTCCTCATCTTAGCCAGGGAGGGAAAGTGGGGACCCAGGGTTGCAGGCTTCGTGGGGGGGTCCCCTCCCTTACTCCTTGGAGAAAGGATAAGGGTTAGCGCTTTTGGAAAACGAACCAGGATTACAGAGTCAGCTGTCTATGGTGAGCGGAACAAGACGCTGGGGCCTCCAAAGCTGGCGTCCTCTGTGGTACTGTGAGGCCCAGCTCTCCTCCTGCACTTCCCCCAGAGAAGCCCGACTCTGCGATCCCTGAGGTGAGCACTGCAGGTCATCCGTCTGGAGGTGTAAGCAGGTGCCCAGGTGAGGGCACCGGTACCAACCCTGTGACCTTCACTCCGAGGATGCTCGCCACGGGACTTCCGGAGTCCGTGGGGCACACAGTTTGCTCCCGCGCTGCAGGGAGAGGACAGACGGGGGCAGGGGCGGGTCGGTCACCGCGTGCCTTAGTACCAAGAGCTTGCTCAGGAACTCGACCGGCAACTCTAGGTGCAATGGCCCAAGTCCTGCACAGCACGGCACAGAGCTCTGCTCTCTCTCTCTTCCCTGTGCAGAAATCAGAAAGGGAATGGGAAAGTGGGCCATTCATCAGTAACCACAGGAGGGACAAATGCTCACTGTGTCAGCACAGCCGCAGCTCACAGCCGAAAACCCTAACAACTCGGGGCTTCTCAGGAATATATGCTCCCTCCGTCCCACGTGGCACAGCCCACTCTCGAGGCTCCACTGCTCCGATGTCCCCTAGTCTGTACCCAGTGGATTCTGATATGAACATTTTGTCCCACTTCTGGGCATTTGTCTCATGGTCCACACACAAGCTTGGTGTTGGCTGCCTTGTGGCTCGCTACCTTCTCCAGTGGAGGTGGTGTGGCGTTCATCACACCTCCCAGGACAAATCAGCACCACTGTGCTTATCACACTGAGGTGTGTGTGTGTGTCATGAAAAGCATCTTTATAAACAAGAACCAAGTCAGCCTACCACAGAATGGAATTACTTTTCTAAAACCATAAATATTTGACTTATATTAATGCTTATGTTCTTCGTCTAAAGCAACTGTCATTTGAATGTAAGAGTGGACTGTTTACTATGACAATTATTTGGTGGTTAGAAATAAGGAAAGCTATGAAAAAAAAGAAATGTGGAGAGAGACAGAGACAGTTGTCGAAGCACAGACGGTCAGATGCGAGACTGTACACTGGGCTATGGAACAGCGCAGGACCCTAGTGCGTGGTAGGTGACGACTCACATTTGGGATTTGGAAATGGCTCGGCTTCACCTACTGAAGCTGAAGACAGGACTGCTGAATGGCGCAGAAGTTCCTCTGCTGGGCACCCATCCAGGAGAACAAGTACATCTGTCCAACAGAGGATGTGCACAAGGGTGTTCAGGGCTGGTTTTGTTACAGTAATAAAAATAGACACTCCCGAGTGGTGGGTGAAAGAAGTGAGGACTGCTATGCAGGCTGTGCTCCCACACAGGCAGGCGAGGCGCGGATCAAGTGCGGCTGAGTCAGTGCTCACTCAGGGTCTGGCAGTGTCAAACATGCATAACGCACACCGAAAGCAGCTGGCACTGTAGGGGCGTGGAGGCGCTGCCAGAGGAAGGGTGAGTCGTGCCCTCAGGAGGAGACACGGTCATGCGACGGGTCCAAGACTACACCAGACAGTATGTCACGCAAACAGTAAGGATTAGTACTTCCCTGGGTCCCGGCTGCAAGGCGCAGATGCCTTGTCACATATCCACGAAGTGGGACGCTCTGAGATGCAAGCTACCCGGCCACTGCCCAGGCCAACATGACGTTCAGGCAGGGAACCGAATACGGTCGGGCCTGGCTCCACAGCAGGCTCAGCACCAGCTGTTGACAGAAAGAGGTACACAGGGAAGCAAGTTCCAGCAGGACACCAGCCTGTCCTGGAGCAGGACGCAAAGACGCAAATACATTATTCAAGAAGGGACCTGAAAGGAGATCGTGTTTATCCCGCTGCTGTTCCCAGCTGTGCTTCAGATCTGCCTGTCCTCCTGCCCGTGTCCGCAGTCACCTCGGGGACTTCCACTGCTCTCTGAAAGCACAGTTCAGCTTCTTGGGGACACCTTCACACCGCGACTTGACTCCCTCCAACAAAAGGAAAGACTGGTGGCTTCTCGTGTCCTCACACTCCTCCGGATGATCCAGTCAGAGCTGCAGGCCTGAGGGTGGCTCCACCCTGCTGGGGGAGGATGGCCTCCAGCCAGCACAACGGTAAGACAGGGCAACAGGGGAGGGACACCCCGGGCCAGCGCCACTATCCTGGCTGTGCAGAGGAGCAGTGGAGAAGTGCTATTCTGGACCCATCAAGTTATCGCTACTTGGAATCCTTGACTTGAATTTGGTGCTGTCCTCAGGACCAATCAGATGATGCTCTTTTCAATCCTTCCTTTGCAGTGGGTACCGCAAATCAAAGGATGCTAATTCCGATCCTTCATTTCACAGAACAGGAAGCCAAAGGAGCTTTTCCATAGGAAGTTTGCACATGGGCCGTCTGACAGGATGTCTGTCCCAGTGCCTAATCCGAGAGGCGGACAACCAGGAATTCTGGACACAAAAGACGCCTTTCTCTTATCTTGGGGTGCTGTGAGCCTTTCCCCCAGCCTGCTCTCACTCT